GAAAAGGTTTGGAAAGAAGATTCTCTCTACAAAAATACATTACGAAACCAGACAGACGACAATTGGCAGCGACTTTAGGTCTAACCGATGCACAGGTTATATGATTTAAATGACATATTAACCTTTGTAACCTATATTAAATAAAAAAAATTGTAATATTTATGATTTCATAAAGGAAACAATATTTAAAGGAAATTTTAAGGAAATAATACCAATAATACAATTCTTTTTAAATTTAAATAATTCTAAAATTTTTTATATTATTAGGTTAAAGTTTGGTTTCAAAATCGTCGGATGAAGTGGCGACATACAAGAGAGAGCGAAAATGTTACATTTGCTGGTCCAGATTCCACACAAAAGGATTTTCCGCAAAAATTAATTAAATCTATCACCAATGATACAACACAAAAAAACGAAGAAGATATAGAAATCGATTAAATTCGATTTATAATTAGATTTATGAAATTTCCACATATATTACAAAAAAATAACTTTATTTTAAAATTAAATTACAATATATTTATAAAAATTTGTCAAAAGTTTATAAAAATTATATGATTGGAAACAAAACCGTTTATGTTAAATACATTACTTTAAATACGAAGCGCCACTACGGTCTGAATGTTAAGATGTTAAAAGTTCGACAATCATATCGGCACGCAATTATCATTTTTGAAATTAATTCATTTAAATGAATATATATAGTAATTCAACATCTTAACATTCAGACCGTAGTAGCGCTTCGTATTTAAAGTAATGTTTATAAAAATTATTAAGACATGACAATATATTATACTATAATTCCAACAGCATCAAAAATGTTTAGAAATATCTCAGAAATTTTTCAACAGAAAAATGAAACATTTCATAAAAATTGCTAAATATGTCTACAACATTTCTAAAACAGCTCTGAAATAGCAAAATATCCGTGATTCTTCACCTGTTGTTAAAAGGTTGACGAAATGTTGCACAAAGAAATCCGCAATCTTTTTGAAATATTATCAAAAAGGTTTCAGCGAGTTCTTTCTGACTTCAGCTATTTCTAGTACTTAAAAAATGATATTTAAATATATACTTGATTAAATTTTAAACAATATTTAAATTTATTATACAAAAATTTGGTCAATAATCGAGCTCACAAAAAAATATAAAAATAAAATAAAATGTATAAACGATACATTTATTAAAAAACTAACATAAGTTTCGTGATCACAGGTCCTTCTTCAATATTAAGAATATAGAATATAGGTATGAAGACGCAGATAACATAATTTAGACGCAGTTCTAACATAATTTAAACAATAATATGAAATAAATAAGATTATTTTAGCATGATAAAGTTAAACATTGATGAGAATAAAAGTTATGCGTTTTCGCGGATTTCCTCTGTGTCCAGATCCATTCTTGGAATGCCAATGTTCCGTGAACCTTGCAGTTCACTTCATCAGGGCGAGGAACAGCCTAATACAGTATCAGATGAAGTGAACTGCAAGATTTACGAAACGTTGGCATTTCAAGAATAGATCTGAACACGAAGGAAATCCGTGAAACGCATAACTTTATATAGAAAGCACCCGTGAAAGCCTCAAGAATATTGATGAGAATATTCCAAATTAAAAGTGAGTATTAAATCCCTGCTTTAATTTGGAATAGTATGTAAAATTATTTTCACATTCTATACATGAAACAATAACTTTAAGAATTTGTACAATATTTTCATAAATATTTAATTTAATTGTGCTAAAATAATCTTTGCGTTTTATATATTTTATATTACCATTTAAAATTTAAATTATGTTAGAATAATTTCTGCGTCTTTATACATTTTATATTTTTAATATATGCTAAAAAAGGTTAAACCTATGATCACGAAACGTTAGTCTTTTAATATGTTAGTCTTATAATGTTAGTCTTTTAATAAATGTATCGTTTATAAAAATTTTTATTTTCATATCTTTTTGTGAGTTTGATCATTGACCGAATTTTTATATAGTTTTGCTTTGCGTAATACAAGCGAATTCTTATTTTTATTTTATGTCGACATAATAAATTTAAACATTATTTAAGTATTAATTAAACATATATTTAAATATCATTTCTGAAGTACTTAAAATTTATTAAGAATTTGTAATTTGTTTACAGATTACAAAACTTGTTGAAATATACTTAAAATATAATATTTCTCAAAAATGGTAATTATATCGCTAACTATTTTGATTAATTAATCAAATTGTGAATTAATATAAAAATTATATGTATAATATAAGCACATGTACATAATCACTATTAAAAAAATCACTTACACCTGCAGTTTCCACATAATATTATTCATGTACAAAAGGCTTTTTGCAATTAAAACAAAACAAGTCATTCATTACAAAAGTTCTTCGTAATTAAAGTAGAACAACTTATGATAACATCAAAATGACATTAAACTGATCGTGATTGATCAAAAAATGACTTTTAGTAAACATTTTGGACATCATGATGATTTTTGTTCTGTTTAAATATATTTTTCAATTTATTGTATATAATAGAAACATTTCTGTTAAAACATTTCATATTGCAGAATCCTTTTAGAATTGTTGCACATGAAATGTAAAAGGTTGAAACATTTCTGAAAATTTATCGCAACAATCGGTGCTGTAGGATATGTAATAAATATATAAGTAATATCAATATAACAATAATGTGTGCAATAATATATACAAGAAAATAATGTATTCAAAATAATCTTAAATATAAATAATAATAAGTTTATTATAAAAATATCAAAAAATTTTTTAAATGTAAAAATTACCAATTTTTTAAAGTAACTCGTTACAATTGCCGTTACTTGAGGAAATAACTTTTCGTTTCTTTTTCGTTACTTTTTTAACGATTACCAATCACAGCGAACGGATGTCTAAGGGCTCTCAAGCGCTATGAGTAGCCTGTGTCCAATCAAACCGTGTCCAATTGTATGGAAAGTAACAATAATGTATTGTAAAATTCGTTACTGTTATCAACAAAAAATTAACATATTTACCAGTAAAGTTACTAAAAAAGTAACTTAATTGTAACTATAACTTCAGTACACGAGTTACTTCCATTCCCTGAAAAATATTATAAAAATAATTTACAATACAATTAAATGTTTATATTAATGGTTATTATTATTCGCTATAATATTAATAAAACTTTGTATATAAATGTAAAAATAATCTAATATCCAATATTATATTTAAACTTTTAAAACAATTATATATGTATTATATTGTGGCTCGTATTCAGGAATTTTCTTTCAGCATGCTTAATGCTAAAGAACTACATACTAAATGCTTGCCAACGATATTAGCACGCATTTAACATACAATTCACATTACATATTTCAAAAATATAAAAGAAATACAAAGGTGTGTTCAGATTATTGAGCCAAACTCGAATCGTGAAAAATATTTTAAGAAAATACAATATAAAAGCGCGCTTTTATCGATAAAAGCGTTTTGAATACGGGCCTACATATTAAAGGTATCATCTCATGCAGCAAAGCTTCGCTAGCTACGCATTTTCGCATGAATCGATAGAGTGTAAAGTCTTCATCAGCGAAGCTTTGCTGCATGAAATTGTACCTTAATATTAAAATGAATTTAACATTAATGCGACTTTCTATTTTTTCGATATGCTTCCGTGGCAACGATTTTATTATTTTCTTTCTCATTAGTGTAAACATACGTAACTCGATCACCATTACACAACAATATTTAGCAATCGCTTTCATCCTTTCTAAACTATATTTTTACTAACAGGTATGAACAAAAATTTAAGATTTTGTTAATATATTATATATGTTAAAATAATTATATATACAATAAATAACTTTCTTAACTATGTTCTTAAACAACGTACGTATGTTTAACTAATTTTTTTATTTAAGGACTGTGTCTTAATGCTGTAAAAATTTTACAAAATGATGCGTTGCTTAAAGCAGTCCATTTTTGTTGTTCAAGATTTTTCATTGCAAACGTACAGAAAATGTTTCTATCGCTTAATGACAAAACTGTCAGATACATTAGCAGCTACTAATGAAAGGAAATGCATGCCATTAAATTCCAATGACATAATATGTAAGAAAAATAATATTTAATTATTCAAAATTCAAATAATTTAATATTTAATAATTTCCAAATAGAAATTGTAATTAAATGGAATATAAATAAATCATTGCATTCGAAGAAGAGAAATTTTGTCATAAGCTAATATTAATTTGTTAATGACAAAATTTCATGTCATACTCAAATTTTTCTAATTCAGCTGCCTCCGTGGCGCAATTACATACAATTCCGACAATGAATGCAACACCAACGAAGACGATGCCATTATTGGAAACGGCAAATTTTGAGATAACCACGGAAAATGTTAAAATTCCTAAAGTTATACCACGTGTTCGTATAGAAAAAACACCATTACCATTTGAAGAGATTCCTGGACCGATGATCCTGAAGTTATGGGAAAAATATTGGAGATACGTGCCACTCCTGGGTACGCAACTGTTTTGCAGTCTACTAATAAGCAGATTTATCCAGGGTATGATCCCTTGAAGTTCAATTGATTAAAATCCGGAGAACTGTTTTGTAATTTCAAATTGATATTAAGAACAGATATGAGAAAATGTTTTGCTTTATACTTGTACGTATAAATTATAAATATACACAGAATGTAAATTAATTTTGGTTCTTCGAATTTTGAATAATTGTCTCCTGATGTTAAAAAAAAAATAAAATATACAAAATATGTAATAATCTTCTAAAATTTATAAATACACTATGTATTTAAATAAATTACATATTTATATGCTTATATGTAGTATATGTATATAAAATATTTTAAATAGCTATATTTTTCTCTTATGTTATAAAAACGAATTTTACAATATAATATATATCTCAGTTAATTTAATAACTAAAAGTAACATAATATTAATTAATATTATAATTTTGCACTTAACAATATAAATGTAATATGTATGACTCATACAGTTATATTATTTTAACATAACACATTTTTTAATGATTATTATATTTAATAATAAAGACAAAGTAATTCATATAAAAAACGACAGTTTATCTATTAAATATCAATTAAGGACAATAATTTAATACATTATATTGCAGGACGATTATCTTGGAATCGCAACATCACACCAATTAAATACTTGTTTGATGAATATGGATGCGTCGTGCGAATTAACGGGCCGCTTGTAAATGATATAATTATGATTCACAAGTAAGATATTACAACGTGTATGTTTTTTTCAATAATTAACATATCGATTGTTTTAGACCTGAGCACATAGCAGAAGTTTTCAATCAGGAGAGTGAATCACCTATTCGTAGTGGCATTGATATCCTCCAACATTATCGCCTTAATCATCACAAATATCGTTCTGCCGGAGCGTTTTCTCTGTAAGTGTGCGATTAATTATAAAAGGAATTTACCATAATTATTAAAATACATAAAATAATAGATTCAGTTGTGCAACAAGCTGTCATAATTTAAATTAATATACTAAAGAAATATTTATTTTTTAAATTAAATAAATCCTCCAATATTTAATCATATTCTATCTATATAAAAACTTCCGTAAGTTTTATAAAAATATAGCTTATATTTGTGTTTATATTTATATTAAACTGAAATGCAATGTTCAATTTTTTTAAGTGATAAGCATGCATGCATGTATGCTTTGATGAACACAATCTGATATTTGACAGATAAAATGAAATTAACATAATTGCTTTATTCTAAAGATACTATCAATTGTCTCGATCACATGACTGTTTTTAATCTTTTGATTCGTATATGCAAAGAAACAAGCTATAAAATAATAAACAAAAATCATGCATATCAGCATACTGCGGTCAATGCATGAGTGTATTCTAAAGATCACACGATGCTCAATTTCTTGAATGATAAGCATGCACGCATACATGTTGCTATGCTTACTTTGATGCATACAATCTGACGTTTGATAAATAATTATGAAATAAACAATTATTTCTTTTGATTGGTGTATGCAAGGAAATAAACTATAAAGTAATCCATAATAAATATAAAAATCATATATATGCAGCATGCAGCGCTCAATGTATAAACGAATTCTAGTATACATCAGAGCAGGCATGCATGCATGTATACAAATTCAAGAAATCGAACATCGTATAATTCCAGCTTTGCAATTGTTTTACGTAAATAACATTCTAATTTCTTTGAATATATTTAATAATTTTGTTATTCTGTTATTTTTTCTACATTGTTCAGATTTAATGAAACAGTAATTTAATTAATAATTTGATAATAAATTTTATGAAATATTAGACAAGGTTTGGAGTGGTTAGAAGTAAAAAAGAAGGTCGATCAGCCGTTGCATGAGACTGTTTCCGATTATATTGAAAAACTGGATTCAGTGTGTGACGAACTTATTAACAGAATTCGTAATATTCGCAATCGTCAAGATGAGGTACATCAATCAATAATAAATAATTATAATGCACATTATTATCAATTGTCTTAAATTTAATTTATACTTTTTCTATATATTATACATAATATTTAAAAACAAAATAATATTATATATGAAAGTAAACAAATTCAGACCTCACAAAATTATAATAAATAAATTAGAATAGAAATTTATTAAAATGTGAACAAACATATCTTATTATATATAGTAATAATTTAAAAAATATTTCTCAACAGGTACCAACAAATTTTCATCGAGAACTCACTGCATGGGGTATGGAATGCTTTTACATGACAATGTTCAACAAGCATTTCGGTTTTCTTGATTCTACCTCCAAATCGGCTTCCGAAGCCACAAAAATTATTAATACATTAATCACTGCTCACACATATATGAGTCGCTGCGAAACCGGATTTCAAGTGTGGAGATTCTTTGAAACTCCATTTGTCAAAAAGCTTTATGAAGCTTGCGATGGGCTTGATGAGTAAGTAACAAAGTTTAGCAGCTTTAACGATGATTTTACTTTAATCGTATGCTTTTGTTTATATAATAAGTGTATGCATCTACAATTATAATACAATTATAATTTTAATATATTATTGAGTTTCTATTTATATATTTATATACATTATCTATTATTCATTTAATATATTATTTATTTGTTTGCGTTAATAATTTTTTTAATTTTAATTTTATATTTTGCTGATTTCTTCAATGGTGTTTATATTACTTATGGATTTTTATTCTAGAGTTATTGGAAAATACATTCGTCAAACTCAGAATAAACTGCAAACTTTATCATTGTCAAAACAAGAAGAATCTATGAATAAAGAGAGAAATTTACTGGAAAAAATAATGATTCAGCGTATTCATCCAAACGACATTTCTATCCTTTTGATGGACATGCTTATTCTAGGCGTTCAAGCTGTAATATGCAATAATTTGACACAGTTGTAATAAGAATGTAAATTATTTTGAATTTTCAGGTCATTAATTGCGAGGCGTTTCTACTTTATTTCCTAGCAAAAAATCCTCGAGTACAAAAACGGTTATACAATGAAATAATGACTGTTTTGTCTAAAACCGGTTGTACTTTAACAAAAGAAAGCTTGAAGGATATGCCATATCTAAAAGCATGCATAAAAGAGAGTCTTAGGTAACAGAAAGTAAAATAACTGATTTAACACATTTGTATTAATTAAATTTTTTTATTTTAAATTTTAAATAATTATAACTTATAAAAAATAACAATAGAAAAATTAAGTGTACCAACACATTATTGTGTGTAACATAATATTTTTTAAAAAGATTACGACCAGCATTTCCCTATTTGACGAGATTATTGCCATCAGAAATTTCGTTACATGGATATATAATACCAAAGGGAGTAAGTTGTATACGTTAATTCAAATCTAAACGTGATGTATATGTTAAATAAGTAGTATAATGAATAATTTTACATTTTCTAGACTTTTGTCATAATGGCAAATCAAATAACATCACAGCGTGAAGAATATTTTGAAGATCCCGAAAAATATCAACCAGAAAGATGGTTGAATCAGGATAAACATGCGCATAATGATTATCAAGAGTATTCATGTCTACCCTTTGGTTATGGTATACGATCCTGTCTGGGAAAAAAAATGGCAGAAACACAAATGATGTTACTCACTGCAAAAGTAAATGAGTTTTATACATAATATAGCGCAAACATAATGTATTATAAAATTAATATATATTTTATTTTTACAGTTGGTACAAGAATTCACAATCGAGTATGATTATGCTGAAATCCGAAGTAAATTTCTTATGATAAATGTGCCAGATAAATCACTACGTTTCCGTTTCGTAGATAAAAATTAAAAAATAAGAAATATGCAAAATAATTTTAAAAATGTGAAAAATAGAATAATTATTATTATAGACGTAAAAAAGTATCTTTATTAAGATCATATAATAAGAATTATTATTACAGTAAGATTATCTTTCTGTAAAAAAGCTGTATAAAGAAAGGAAGAAGCTGTTAATAATATTTGTTTTATATCAAATTATATATTATTTATTTATTTTATTAACAAAGTAACTAGAAGTTACAATAAATATGTATTTATGTGTTTGTATTCAATACATTCTAATTTACTTAAAACATACAAATTATATATTTATAAAAAGTATAATTTGGACTAATTAATATTAGAAATTACGATATTAACCGTACAAATAAAATCAATAAATTCTATAGTTTATAAATATAATATACAAATATTAATAATTTAACAGTATGTATAATATAATAAGATTTTACATGGATATCATCGGGGTTTTATTATTACTAACAAATATATATTTTTATTATATTATTGTTGCAATTCTACATAGCAAACATTAAAAAAAAATATAATGTGTGGACTTTTACCTTAAAAAACGGATTATTTATTTATTCTTGATCTATCATAATACGCACAAATGCCATATATGAAAAAACTGTCGAGATGTACTGAAAAATAACAAATTCTTAAATACAAAATAATAAATAAGTTTAAAAAAAGATAAATGTAAACATCTGAGAAATAAAAAGTAATATAGAAAACGGATACAAGTTCTTACAGATGCGTAATAGTTCATGGACAAGTTTGGTAATGCACATGGAATTGAAATGGTGACTGGACGCTGACTTCTTAATATGATATGTATTAAAATTTTCTGCATGGCCAGATTATCATCGTACCACAATGAATCGTAAATTGCAAACGCTATACCGCTACTCTAATAAAAATGTTGGAAAAATAAATTTTTTAAAATTAGACAAAAATTGCATTATCCCTATTATAATGTAATTATATATTTTATGTTCTATAAATAACTAACCGTACTTATTACGTTATCAGCTGGCCAGGCATACATATAGAGTTCCACAAAACCACAAAAAGCTATCATAAGAAACGTCCATTTCACTGTCCATGGTTGACGCTGTTACGCGTAAATATTAAAAAAACATAATATGCATAATAAATAATATGCTGTGTATAATGTATTACATTAAGTGTGAAATAAACAGTAAATTCAAACAATTCGTTTTCCATAAACAATAAATGAGAAAATCATATAACATTATAAAACAAAATTTTTAAAGAACACACTTTTACACGAAGCACGATATATTACTTACACTCATAAAAGTAAGATAACCAAATATTACAGCACCGGTACTAAAAGTCACGCATAATAATGCTATATAACGAATTGCACAAGATACTTCTTTTGCATATCTATAAATATTTGATTTAAAAAAAACATAACTTACTTTAATTTTTTTTTCTTTTTTTTTTCAAATTATATACCTATTATATTGTATTATATACCTAAGTAATAAACTATGTTTGCGCGTATAGTTTACCAATTCCTTCATACTCGTCATTGTACGAAACTGAACGGAGAGAATTTCAAATCTAGCTGCTACAAACCAAAGTAGAAGAGCAGGAAAGGTATTGGTGCTAACTTGGATTACACTTTGATAAGCAATTAATATATGATGAGCATAAATAATTGTTTTCAATGGTTGATGTTGCACATCGAATGGATACTCCGCTTCACACGGAAACGATTGTGATGAAAATAAAGGCGTGAGTATAACGCTAATACCTGTCATTGCCAACCAACAAAGAATACTACCTACAGTAATCAATTTATTATTAAGTTTGTTTAAAAACTAGTAGTTAAAACTAATACTGTACATACCATAAAACGGTTTGCATTTGTCAATATATTGTTGGAAAATTTTTTTTTCATATTCTTGAGCTCGCTGATAATAAGCCTCCATTTCCAAAATAATAAACTGTGTCATCAAAACTTGTATTAGTAGTTCTTTCATAATTTTATAAATACAAACTATTAATAATATACGTAGGCTGCTGGAAAAGTTTGCAAACAATATGAACAAAAAAAAGCAAACAATATGAAAAAACATGTAAAATTCGGTAAATGGCTTTATTATTTTTCGAAGCATTCGCCTTTAAGATCGATACATTTTTACATACGTACGAACCAATTTTCAAAGCATTTTTTCCACTCTAAGACTGTAACCTCAGAAATTAGTGTATGAAATGTTTCAACAGCTGCTTCAGACGACTCAAATGGCTCACCACGCATCTTATTTTTAATGTTTGGGAACAAAAAGAAGTCATTAGGTGATAAATCAGGTGAATACGGACAATGAGTCATCAATTCGACATTATTACTGGATAAAAAATCAACGGTTTGACATACTGTGTGACAGCTGGCGTTGTCACGATGAAGGATGATGCGATAATTTCGGTTTGTTCTACGCAATTCATTTATGACTTCTGGCAAACAAATTGTTGTATACCAATCAGTATTTACAATCCTTCGATCCTCTAAAGCCACGGTTGTCACATGTCCGGTATAACCGAAGGAACGAGCATTCATTTGCTTGGCAGCACTGAGTGAACGAATAACATTTATTGGTTTCGGTTTATTTTAAAATACCCAAACAGTGGATTGTTGTTTACTTTCGGGCTCATACGAATAGATCCATGTTTCGTCTCCAGTAACGATGTTGTAGACCAAATTTGACCGATCTCGGTTGAATTTCTTGAGCATTTCTTTGCTCCATTTAACACGAGCCTGTTTTTGAGCTTCGGTCAAATTGTGTGGGATCCAACGACTGCAAAGTTTCCGTACGCTCAAGTGATCATGCAAAATCGTATGTATTGCTTTCATGTCAATGCCTAAGGATGCCTGACTCTCGCGGTATGTTATATGCTCGTCTCGCTCAATCATTTCATGCATAGCATCAATATTAGTGGCAACAACAGACGTGGACGACTTTCACGGAATTCATTACTAAGAAAGGTATGTCCACGCTGGAATTCGGCAAACCAATTATAAATAGTCCTATTGGATGGTGCTTCATCCCCAAAAGCCAAATGAAGTCTATCGATGCATTTTTTCGGAGTTAGATTACATTTGTAATCGTAAAAAATCATTGTCCGAAAATTTTCACGCGAAATTTCCATTTTCTTACAAAATAATTTCTTTTAAAATACTATGCAAACAAAACTAGTTGGCTTGGGTAGAAACTGTCAATTGAATTATAGGTTAAAAACGTCTAATTTTACGGATATGATAGTAGCAAAACGTTGGCGCCACTGGAAGTACTACATTGCGGAAACTTTTCCAGCAGCCTACGTATTCTTAATTAATAAATTACTTCAATTTTATACATATATACATATAGTAATAATAGTTAATTAAGACACAATTTTAAAGAACAGCCTAAAAAATATATATTAGGTGCGCAACTTAATTCTCGACTTTTTTCATTGAACTTTAATACTAATTTATAAAAAGTCGAATAGTTACCTAATCTTCAAAATAATCTCCCTCGTTTTCCGTACATTTGCGCCATCTTTTGGGAAGCTGTCGGGAATTCCACTTCGCAAAAAACAGGGTTGTTTTAAATTTATAAATTCGACTATACTTTTCTCGACATAAGTGAAATGAGTATCAGTTAGATGATGTTACAAGGATCTAAAAAGATGATAATTTGAAGGGGCAAAGTCTGGAGAATACGCCGAGTGCGATAAAATTTCCCAGCTCTTAATGATTGTTTTCAAAGTCGTTTTTGTTGTGTGTGGCCGCACGTTATCTTGAAGCAAGATGACCTTTCTTCTTCTCTTGCTAGCATAAGACCTTTTCTCCTCCAATACATCACTAACACGAATCAATTGCTGCTGATAACATTGAGCAGTGACCGTTTCATCAGATTGGAGCAATTCGTAATAAACGACACCCTGCTGATCCCACCATATATACAGCAACACCTTCTTGTCGTGCATATTCGGTTTTGTGGTACTACTCGAAGGCTGTCCTGGATAACTTACGATTTTCGCTTCTTTGGATTATCATAGAAGATCCATTTATCGTCACAGGTCACAATCTTGTGCAAAAAATTCTTCTGTTTGAATCGGGATAGCAACGACACAGCAATATCTTAGTGTCTACGCTTGTTCTCAGCTGTGAGTTTGGAACCCAATGGCCCTTCTTTTGAATCCTTCCCAGCTTATGTAGACGCTTAGAAATGGCTCGCCTTGTTACTCCGAATTCCTGTGCTCTGACTGTGTACGACAGGAATTCTCTTCTAAAAGTTGTTCCAGTTTCTCATGAACGTTGACTTTCTTTGATTGTCCCGAACGTTTTTCATCATTAAGTCAAAATTTCCACTCTTAAACCGCTGGAATCACTTTTTACAGGTATTATAAGAAACAATATTCTCTCCCAAAGCCGAACCAATCATTTCCTATACTTCAGCAGCACTTTTTTTTAATTGAAAAGCGAAAAGAAAGTAATGCTTCAAATGCTGCTTCTTGAACGACATTGCTTTTAACACTTTTTTTTTTAAGTTAGTACAACCGCCAACAATTGCGTTTGAAAGCTTAAAGATGACACTCCAATATGACTATATGGCGAGAAAGATATGTAAATTTGAATAGTTATTCATCGATTGAAGTTAGAAGCCGAGAGTTAAGTTGCGTATCTAATAATACGTATTTATATATTTCTGTTTAAAGAATATATTTAATTTATAAAACAAATAATTTAATCTGAGATGTTAAAGGGTTTACGAGTTATCGCTCTGTCGTGATTGCTAATGCCAACCATGTATCTTGCCGTTTACTTCATCAAGGCCATAGTGGAAAGACACTTGCATCATGATCAGAGCAAAGATTGATACTGAGCAAGGTTTATGAAACATTAGCATAGATCCATTAGAATAGATCATGACACGGCGATAACTCATAAACCTCTTGGCACCTCTAAAGAAAACACCCGTGAAAGTTTTAAAAGTATTAAGTAATTGAATCATTAGACAAAACATTTCATTTCACAATTTATTTTATAAATATAAACAGTTCCTATATGTCTGAGCAGAACATACGACGGATTTTGTTAAGTTACAGTCTTTTCATCAAATTAATATGAATAAAAATTGTATACCTGCAAACGTTTCTTTTGCATCGCAAAGAGTATCAACTGTAATGGAACTTGTATGATAGCGCTCAACTGACATCCTAATTTCATCACCAGAAGCATATCGTCGCTGTGCTTACAGAGTGTCCATACCGCCGCAATAGCAACTAGTATTGAATTCGTGACGCAGAAACACTGGAAGGCACTGCGAAGAAGTCTCTGAGACTTCGTTGCGTTCAGTGGAAGAGGCCAACAGCAAGCGAATATCAAGTATATCTTTAGAAAAGCGATTACTCTATCTAGTGTTACCTTTCTCTCCATGTTTAAGACACGGAAATTCTAGCTAGCATAGTATAAGCTGTAATCACCCTTGCAATATTGTCAAGATAATTTGCTAGCGAGTAGATAGTATAATAACACTATTATAAGGCGCCAAATGATGTATATGCGGTACATACGATATAAGCAGTGTTATATCGTGTCTTTGAAGCAAGGTGCATTGTTTCTCAAGGGTTCTCAGTGCATATAATACATTATGAAAAAATTTTAACGTCACCTTAATACCGATTACAATTCCATAAATTATAGTATAAATTAAATGTTCAATTAAATGTCGTTGCATTATATTATAAAAATACATATACTGTACATAAAACTTCAATTTCAAAAATTCTCAAAATTTAAATTTTAATAATTTATGCAATTTAATATTTTAATAAATCATATAAGTTGAACGTGATTCATACTGTGAAATCCGTATAAGCTATATTGTCCCCCTCTCCTTCAAAGATGTCTATAAAACATAAAAACCTTTGTAGAATAAATTTTGTTATTTTACTTATGCACGTTGAAGTTATTTTATTTTAAAAATCTTGAAAGAAGCTTTGAAACATTAACGCTTCTCAGTTATTGTGAATTACTACCTAGAAAGAAAAACAACTTTTATGAACATCTAATTATAGGTACCTTGCCTTTGCATTTCCCACTAGATAGCAAGACAAAGACTGTTTAATTAATCATATGCATCGAACGTAATGCTGCCGTGTATTTACAAACACTTTCAGATATTACACATGTTGCAATCAAATGGTATAATTGTCTAGTAATAATTAAATCCATTTCAGTGAAGTATAATTAGCAATGAAATGAAATTGTATGGTCTCTTATGAGCTTGTCTGCAATGTATCATAATAAAGATAATATAGATGAAATAAAACAAATCAGTTAAAAGCTAGTATGTATCTAGAAAGATTTAATGTAATTTATTATATATAATTAATATTTGTATTATTGTCTAACGGTTATAAATTTTATCTATTATCTCTCATGTTTTTGTTTTTTAATATTATCATTTTTAATA